AAAATACCAAATTAATCTCAGCATTTCAGACTGCAGTTTAGCAGAGGCTTAAGATTTTAATAAAACATACACTTGACTACTTCTAAATAAAATCTTGACCCTAAAAAGACCATACCTGATTTCCTCCTGTACCATGACAACGGTATATACCGACGGAAGATAAAGCTATTTGTTTACCTAAAGAATCGATACAAACTCTTCCCTGTCTGAATGTCAGATATCTTCCTTGCTCTTTCGAGGGAATCCTAAATGAGAATTTAGAGGAATTTTATTTCTTATCAAACTATCTTCATTTTCAAGCATAAATAACAGAGCAGTTTTCCGTTCTTTTATTACTTCATATTTCTGCCTTAAACAGATGTTTTATTCAAAATGGAATTAATCTTTATTGGTTATTCGTCATTCTTATTCTTTTTAAGAACCACTCCATCTTTAATGCAGTTATGGTTGCAGTTAAGAAAGTCACATAAAAAATAAACAGGAACACACTAATAAAAACGCACGTCAACTCCGGATAAATTTCTTTCAAATACCAATCGAAATCCTTGCAGTGCAAACTTTTTTTTTAGATCCAATCTTGCCGTGATGCTGCAATAAAATGAATGATGTAAAAAGGTCACCATAAAGATTTAAAGTTTTTAATTAAAGTACGAAGAGTAATAAAAACACTTACTCGCCAAAATTAACATATCGAGCAGACGGTACTTTTCTCAAATAGAGATGCTTGTAATCACCTAGCCATACTTCGGCGGCTCGTCTTGTATTTCTACAAAAATAAGCTTGTGATCTTGATCTTCAGAGTACTGATTTCCATGCCTATGACGCGACTATAAATGTAGACTTGTCAAGGAATGCAACGTAAGGAAAGAACTTTGCAACTCATGAATTTATAACGTGAAAAAAATTTTAAATGAAAGTTCACTTTTGAAAAACATTGCCGCTGCCACCAGGAAAAGTATACGGATGTTGTTTCCGAAACACATGACCAACCCGACTGCAAGGAATAATTTCCAGTGAACCGCCGCACTGCCACACTCGAAATGATAATTCTGTATAGATAAATAATCACAGCAGAATAAACTCTCAAATCAAACCTAACAGAACTGAATAAACAATAGTAAAAAAATAAATGCTTTCGTTTCACTATTTATTAATGGATAAAACAACTAGGGCTGCTAAACCTCACTATAGCGTCCTTGATATCGTTGAGGAATGGCACAATCCTGCAGGGGGAATTCTAAACCAAATACTTTCCTACTTTTTTATTCCATCTTATTTGTTCCAGATTTCAACGCTGAGAGTGATTGATGCCATCAATGAGCAGGTCCAGACGAGGCTTTAATTCTCATATCATCTTGGTAGATTTTTATTTTAGATTGCTCAACTTCACAATCTTGGAATTCTTGAGAATTGAACAACGAAAAGTTACTAACCAAGATTTTCGCCACCCCAAATATCCATTTCTTCATCATATGTACCTAGTTTTTCGAACCAGTCTTTCTGGATCATAAATAAACCGCCAGCTATTACTGGCGTCCTGAAACCAGCACAAAACAACTCATAAACAAAATGACGAAATATAAATGGGACAATCAGGATCTGAACTATCCAAATTAATTTAATCTTGCTTTCTAATTAGAACAAAGCTGAGAATCATATTTAAAGAATAAAATACCTATTGCAACAATGACCCATAGATTCAAAATTAATCCGAGAAAAAGTGCTGCAAAAAAGCACCACATTCCTTTCTCGATGGTGATTTTATATAGGAAAAATAATTGTGGGATTAAAGAATTTAAGGAAGAGAGACTTACCTTATCGGTGCCGTAGGTCGTGCATGTCGCTCATCTCGTAACTTACCCGTTAAATATTCCCATTTAAAGACGAGATTCCATTCAAATCCTATGCATAACGAAAACAGCATTCAAACTGGATGAAAGACAAAACACTTCAAAGTGTTTAGTAAAATTTCCTAATATCATTACCAGTCTCATTTATGAAGTGGTGAATAATACTCTTGCTTACATTAACTATGACCTAAAAAGAAATGAGACCTCCTCTCAAATCAGCACTAGCAGCGACATATTTGAACGTATCTCTGTCGATAACATCAATCACGGGAGCAACGACGGTCCGATGATTTTCTTTAACTCGTGCGAGCAATGGTTCCAACCAATTCACATTGCATTCGCAATGACTGTCCAAAAAAGTGAGCACTGAGGCACGCGCCAATGCTGATCCTTTCACACGCGACCTTATCAGACCTTCAACTTATTGATGACATAAAATATTGGACTTGATACAACCAAAAAAAGGATAGTTGCACATATACTTTTGATTGGTGAAGTTTTATACCATTTAAGATTTAATTTCAACCACTTCAAATTTCAAAGCTCAAAACGAAAAACAACGAAAAAAATCTTTTTAAAACTTCCCATTTCCAAACATAACTGTCAGATTTCTACATTTCCACTATTTATAATGGCAACATTCTGACAAATGCTTTACTAGTCAGCGTTGGCAAGGAAACTCTTTTTTTTAAGTGGATGTAGTTTCATGTAGTCTCAAATGTTAGAATGTGAAGTTAAATTTTCAACTTGGTAAATTTTCAAATTTGTCAAACTTCGAACATACCTTCACGTTTTGTATTTCTTATAACAATAACATTTTCTATTGGCAGCAAGTCTGTACCCATCGCAACTAAAATAATTTTGAAAAAGTTCATTTTAAAAGATACCATGCACATAATTTAAAACACAATCCTTTATATCTGAATGAAAATTATGTGATATTTAACCTAAGATTGGCCATAGAAATGCATCTTGTTATTGTCAGGAAGCGTAGGACTCATAATGTCCTGATATCATGACTGAAACAATCCTGAAGGAAGTTCATAATGCCAGTCATTTAACAGTTTATAATGATCTATCGGAGTTTATAATCATCTATCGGAGCTTGCCTGCTGTTACAATCATCTGTCATGATTTGTATCCCCATATTTGAAAAATTAAAAAATATAAAAAATCCTGTTCTGCAAGAGATTCATTTCAATTAACAGACTTACTATCATCTGAAAAATCATCAACAAGAATAATTTCGTGGAGTAACTGCGGTGGGGAACGAAGGAATACACTGACGACGGTACGCAGTAATGTCGATCGTGCCTCATTATGGTAAGTTATTATAACTGAAGTTGATGGCAGAGTTTCTATGTTGTACACTACAGTACCGCAACTGAAATATAGTAATTCTGCCAAACTATTTTTCTTACTCGTTACAGGAAGCTGCTTCTGAACCAGTATTTCTAGAAAACGTCGGCTCATGCATTTATTTTGTTTCCTTCAAGAATTTTCAAGATTAAGAATGGAAAAGGAAATCACTTCCATTTCTAAATTTCCACCGAAATAAAAACCCTAAAAGATACCAATTCTTTTGAAGAACCTAAATATATAGTTTCCCTTTATAACATCTAAAATTTTGTAAGTCATTAACACCCAAAAGTAAATGATTTTGATTAGGATAGCAAACAGGAATTTCGAGTTTACCTTGCTTCCCGGGAATCGATAATATCGCGATCCCATCTTGTAGCATCACTAGCGGCTTGATTAAATTTATTTGCAGCGTATCTAAAAATTTAATCCATCAGAAATGCTACTATTGTTTAACTATTGTTTAACTGGAAGTTATCTGGTTTAAAAAGTTATGGCCCAATAGTTTGGCACATACTTCATGTTAACAATTTTTTTTCCATTCAAATGAATTATCAGTCCCAAGAAGTAAAGAAAAAAAGAAAAACCACTTTCCTCACTGCATTGGTGATGCATGCAACTACTGCCAAAAGAGCAATAGTAGACGCAAAAATCAAGTAATCTGAATAAAGAGTTCCTTATTTTCTTTCAACAACTACGAAATAATGGAATCATTTATCTGACGAATTTTTATATCTGTTATTTTATATGATTCATTATTTTATATGATTCACGTCCAAGTTTATATGGTTCGTGTATGGTTTACGTAACAAAGCTTCAATCAAGTTTTCCATGGAATAAACAGTTACTTAGAGTAATTTAGCGTGACGAACCAGCAAAAGTCTTCTGATAATCATGAATCTCCATATGTTCGTATTTCAGCAAATAATATCTAGATATACACATAGTAGACTGTTTCATAGAATAGAGACTAGAATTACCTGTCTTCACCTGGCTGCAAACCACCTTTCCTCAAAAAAGCTTCATGGTCAAAATCCTTCCAGTTCAAAGTTTTTTCCGGTTTGGAGTAAATAATAGCATTCTTCAGCTGATCTGCTTTTAAATTAGCGCTAGTTTTTTCAAAAGACCGTCGGAATTTCTAGAAAAACACAATTAATTTTCGTTACCATGCCATTTTTTACAACTTCAGGAATAAAAATTGTTTCTCAAACGAAGTGTCACTCCAGAAAAATGTCAAGAATTTGTATCATTGACCATTAGAAAGAAGTAGTAGACACTATGTATCATAGCCATTCCACATAATGTAGGGAACGTAGAAGAAGGCAGACACTCATTATTTCAGATTTCCATAATAAATGCCTTCCTTCTTCTTACAGCCGAGATACATTATCAATTTTGGTCTAGCACAAGAAAGCGTTGATAAAACTGAGTTAAACTTTTCAGAAGAACTAATGAAACACAAGAAATTGCTACTTCATCTAAATCCAATCAATCTAACAGTCTTCAATCCTTTTCAGTTGTGATATAGCATTAGTTAAGGAAGAATAGACTTCAACTACATTAAAATGCGTTACCTCTCGCAAAACAGCACCAGTGTAAATCCCAGGAGCGGGGATTGATGCAAAGGAATCTAATAAAGAACTGTTATAACTGCAATAAGCGATATAGCTAACAGTTATGATCCAAGCAAACAACAACAATGATATTGCCCATTTTGCTCGACATCTCACCATCACTAGTCAACCTATAGAAATTTAGGCATTTTTATAATGCACGTCGTGCAACGATATCCGTTTCACATGGTAAAATAATACGACTAAGTTATAATCTAAAAATAGGAGCTTAATTTTTTTGACGCATATATAAAAGCAAGCTAAAACGAAGTTTCTCTTACGTAGACAGTCTAAAACGAATTATCTAAAGTTTGCAGAAAACTCTGCAACCGTTACCTTCACAGTATACAGAAAACCGGAAAACTTTGTAAGTAATTTCTCAAAATTAATCCACTGATTTCTTAACGACTCACTTGATACTATATAGGTTAATGAAGCTAGCAGCTCGTAAGTATCGCATATTGTTATTAATACTGGCTATGAAATACAAATCAGTAAAACGCTTAACAGTAGTTGAGCGTTTTATAGATTGTTACTTATTGCATCTCAACATTAGTACAATAATATACTCACTTTTCGTTTAGTAAAAACTTTATTAGTAATGAAAAGTATACTCAAACTGATTTCTCGGCAAAAATATGCAATCAATGCGGGTAAAGAAATCAGCTTCTTCCTGATGGGTTCATTGTAACCAGTTAACTAGCGGGACGTTTCGTCGAGTTTGTTTAACTGAAACCATCCACTGTACAGATATATCACATTACAACCATTCAAAACCACATGGGGACTCACATGGAGAATGGGTAATAAAACAAAATAGAATGTCTTCTATCAGTTCAAAAAGCATATTTTCTCCCAAAATGATTGAGGTGCGCAAACTAGATGCCCCCACTCTCAGTGCGTTCTCCTCGACCTCCAATCCTGAATTTTTTCCTGAATCTAATTAGTAGTACGAACTTCATGAAAGATACCAAAAGACCAATCAATCTGGGTCATTCGTGACTAATGGTGAGATGGATGATAAAGCGGAAGTTAGAAGGAAAGCAAGGCAAAAGATTAAAATATCATATGCTTCCAAGCAATGATGTGTTAGCGAAAATGCATTTGTGGAAAGGAAAAGCTAAAGCCTATTCCTCACCTGTCAGATTAAAGCACAAATGGTAATACTATCAAGCAGCAAGTAAGCAGGCAACAGTACTTAACAAGGCTACTAAGATATCCAGTATCCTGACAAACCCGCCATATCAATAGCAACCACAAGCTAACGAAACTCCTCAACAAACGAGCTCATGCCACAGAACCGAATTTAACAGGCCTAGAACTGAGAACGTCTATGTGAAAATTTTACGTTCTAAGGTGGTTTCCGTTACTTCCATTGCAGGCCCCTATCATATTGATGATTGAGAAAATGCATTATGAAGAATTAAGAGGGGGTCATCTGTCCGAATTGGATGACCGACTTCATTCATTTACTTGTTCACTCTTCACCGAATGTGTCTTTACTGAATATCCGAATAGGATAACGATGTCAACTCTGCTACTTCACGCCAAATGCTTGATGAAATATCATTTCTTATCCTTGTCCATAGGCATGAATAGATCCATTCCTCATTGTTTTAATGCTAAAATAATTGATGGGAGAAGGATGTTTGAATCAATTCAGGTCTATGATCAATAACAGAATCCCACCTATATCGGGATGTTACTGAGAATCCAACTTGTTATGTACCGCTTCCTTAAATTATTTATGTTACAAATATCTCCTTACCTCGGCCATCTTCTAGGAAGTCGCACATAGCCAGGTACACGATGACTATTATCAAAATCCCCTATGCCCTAAGCCATTCATATATATATATATATATGCCATTCACCATTTTACCATCCTTTACACTCCATTGTTCTGTCAACCGATCCAAGTTTACTTTTTCTCTTCTTGTGAACAAAAGTTGACGACATCGAACGCACAACTCATTCGAGAATGATTTTTTTCACTTTTTTGAAGTTACAAAGTTACAAACTGCACTAATCTGAGATGATACAAGATACGTGAGACTAACTAACTTTGAAACTGAAATGTTGACCCCTTCAAGTAATTTTTAGAACGACAGGATTTCTTGACACTGAAATAAATCTCTCTTCACATTGCGACCAGAGATCATTTTTATTTTGTTCAGGAAAGAAAGAAACGGAAAGAATGAGAAAAACATTATGAATAAGAAGAACAAATATATACTATGTTTTGCGACACAACTATGTGGATTACTTTCCTTTATCATAGTACTCTCAGTTTGAACGCAGGAGGATTCTCCTGTACATTATGACTATTTGCGCGTAAAATAAGACAAGAGAAAAGGATGTTGCACAGTAGTAGTGTGATTATTAATATCTGGATAATTTTTTTCCTGTAAATGTTGAATGGACAATTCCTTCTTTTTCGATAAGAACAGGAAGTTTCGAATTAGCATATTTTTTATGTTGTTCAAATAAAACGGATTCACCAACTGTTGTTTGAAATGAATGGTTCAATAATGGTTGCTCCATTTGGGGACAAGTTATACTATCTCAAATTATAGTTGAACCTTCAACGACGGTTAATTCTGTGTAACATAAGGTACTACAAATGAGGTTCAAATAAGATATTTCGAGATAATACATTTGATAATGAATGAAGGCAAAAAATGAATGGTCAAAATTACTTTCTTTAAGCTTTCAAATTTTACGCAACAATCAGGTGACAGCATCAGAGCTGTTTATGCCTGTTTATGCTAAACTGCTCAGTGGCATTGTGTCAAAGACACAATATTAGAATTAAAAAGAAAATTAAAAAAAATAAAATAAAAATAAAATTTAGAACTAAAATTGCATTACTCCGCTGAGGAGAGAATCGAAGGCAAAGTAATGAAAAGCGCACTTATGCCAATATTCTAATCGTTTCGCATTCCACCAGATGGTTTTTCGCAGGGAAATTCCATCTTTGCTAATTTTTTCCCGCTAGCTGACAAAAACAAAAATGCATGTGCATGTATTCAGCAAAAAAATGCATGTACTCAACCGCTGAAGTTTCTCGAAATCCAAAAGTCTGAATGCTAAAACACTAGTTATAGCTATGCTATATACAATTCATATATAAATCAATTAATTTTTAAATAAAATTTTTTAATAATACCCTCCAAAAGATAAATTATCGAAATTTAAGCTTTCCAGAAATTAATGAAAAATCACAATATCATTTAAGGTGAAACTTCCCCCTTCTCCACTCCAACAAAAGAAAAAAACGAAAAAGCGAATAGTGCTGCTGAACACATGTGGTGAAGTAGAAGTCACAAAATTCTACCAAACAGTTTTCTAGAGCTATCCGGTAACCATACCCGACGATTCTCCGTTCTCCGCCGATAAATCACAAAAATAAGCGATCGGAGATTTAGGTGTTGTCATACGAAGCGTATGCGTGTGCACTATATTAAATTTTGCAAAAGTGAAATTTTTAACGAATTTTAAAACTATATTAAAATACTTCCTCCTCTGACATAGTAGCACGGTGAAAACGAGTAGAGAATATCTAAAATGATGATTATTCCTTATCACTGCAATTAAATATAGTAACGATAATGACAATGATAAAGGCATCAATTCAGTTTTCAACCGGTTAAACAAGAAGAAACATATCAGCAGTGAAATATCCGTTGCAATCATGTATCTTACCCCTGAATCACTTGTGTGCTTAAAAATCCAGAACCACAGTTGCTTCCCAAAAAAACGTTGCAAAGGAAACACCGCTATCATCCACAACGATCTGTCCAGACAAATATCGAAAGTAGAGAGGATGGGAAAACAGAATGATGTTATGAGAGTCTTCTTTAACAAATTAAAAAAGATTTGTCGATAGCCACAAAGATTTATCCCAACATAGATTCTTGATCCAGCCACAATCAATGTATAATGAAAGTATTTCTGAAATGCAAGAAGTGTTGTCTACAAATGATTTGATTCACGAAGAATTCAGAACACATTCTGAATCTCAATCAACAAATCATAATTGCAACTCCTCATTTATATACTTGAATAAAATCCAGTCGATTAATCCAAATGACTTTATTAGAGCTAGCCAATTCGCATTTTCTCCATTAGGTATTTAACGATATGCTGCAGCACCGAATGACCAGACAGTTCTTGTGACCCTAGTGACCTGGTCACTTGCTTAAAGCAGATTTTATTTGGAAAAGTTGACATAACACAAGTGAATCATTCAATACGGACTCTTTATTTTTAGCAATCAAACGACAACATCTTTCTTCATTCCTTCAATGAAATCGAAAATTAATCATGGTTCATTTCATTCTCTAATCCCGCAGATGGTTCTGCTAATTCATCACGAAAGTAACAAATACTCGCAGCAAGTGATTACTTTGCGACTGTCACGGTGCAAACCGGCAGTAGCGAATTCATCATTTTCTGGCATACGGAGGAGATCAAATGATGCAACAGTTGATCAGTACATGAAATACGCATTGTGTCTAAGTCTATTTTAGCTTCTTTCCCATCTACTGCTAAATCAATTGCATTAGCGGTCATCTGGATAACTGCTTGGTCACCACACAGCTCAGCCAGCGTCTTCATCAAGCATTCCACTTCATTAGGTTTTACGCTCCATTTTGCAAGACCTGAAATGTGAAGATGAGAATATACAGCTATAAGTAAAAAATATAGAAATCTTGGTTGTCTTTTTATAAATCTGAATAAAATGCGATCAAGATAACGGCGCAATGTGGTATGTTATTAACTTTTGCTTTCACGCTTCCTGGAAAACAAATGTCCAGTAAAAACTGAGATGGGACAACAGTAAACTGAACTTATTCATCTTCGTTATTATGTTATTGCTTCAAGATGGCTCTATAAAATAAAATTTGATCATAAGGAAAACAATATACAAAAACCATAAGATTTACCATTGATAAAAATTTTCATGAACTGAAATCCACCCAGTTTTAGACTTCTTTAACTGACCCATCTGTCAATGCTTCAGTTGAACTTCAACTGTTTATAGAAGTAACAAAATCAGAAATGAAATTAGTCGAAAAAAAAATCCATAGCAATGATTTGTTATTGATAAAAATCCTTATGAACAGAAAATACTAGCACTACATAACTGATTTGATCAAGAAAAACCCACTTTTATCAGGTACCGGATTTGTCTGTGCATGCAAAATTGCGGCTAAAGTTGCATCAGCGAACATATCGCTTACTGGATTTGATGTCCATTCAATAATGGCGACATGTTGTGAGTAATAAACTAACACACGGATCCGTTCCTGTTCAGATATATGCTTATTATTGTACCGTGGTTGGAAAATGAAAAGAATCACCGTGCCATAGTAAATAAATTTGAGGCAGCTGAGAGAGTTTTAGTCCACCCTCCCATCACAAATTTGGCCAGCTGACGGAAAACGCATCTGTAAGCATAAAAGTTTGAAAATGACCATCTTTCTTTTCATATGAACCCAATGGAATTATAAGAATTTCGAAGCCACTCTACACGATAGTGTGCATTTGTTTCTATAAACACAGTCATACTTTTCGTTTGGATGCGTATTTCCCATTACGTTCATGAGGAATGTATATTTAGTAAATCTTGGTGAGGTAATTTCTATCTTATTAATAAAATATACTAACATCAAACAGTTTGATGGCATAGGTAGGGTCTAAAGTATCTTTGGAATCGATTTCATCATAGCTTACATCACCAGCCACTTGTTGCAAATTATGAAGCAATAATGTAATCGTACCACTGTAGAAGACACTCTCTCGTTGTGTCAAGATACTATTTGACAAATCCGTGTATGCTGTAGATATGAAAAAATCGCCAGAAAGGTATAATATTACTTACTAGTCCTTAGTACTATTACTTACCGAATTGCTATTATATTAAAAAAGTCGTATTAGTTAAGCAATTGCAGATAACAACAGCTTAGATACCTTAACATTCCAGCTTGTCAATGCCAAACCTGTTCTAGAAATTAGGATAAAAATCTATCCGGAAACCGCCAACAGATTGCAACTTACCAGTACTCTCAGTGTTTCTTCCACACATAATCTTAAAACTTGGCCCCAGTGATAAATTTCCAAAAAAAAGAAAACAAGACATAAAACATACCGCTAAGATCATCGGCATGCATCAAGTGATAATTAAAATTTCGTCGAATCAAGACACCGCTCAAAATTCGCCCATCTCCTGGTGTTGTCATCGCCATTTTTCCAACAACCTTTAAATTAAACGAAAAATATTGTTCTGGATTTGTTAGACAATAATTTCCAACATAGATATTATCATTATGTTAAAGTCCTTAAAAATGCAATACAATTTAAATTTTGCCCGGTTAAATAACTGAAAAAGTTCAGTTCAATCGGGATGATTTAATGTTCGCATATGAAAAGCTCGACCAAGACATAAAACTGTGTTTGCAAAACGAATAGTATTCTACTTGAGAAATGAATTCAAGAAACACCTTCGCAGTTTTTTCTCCTCTGAAATGCAATTCAACTGATTCAGTATTTCGAGGATTATATACCTGCAAAATAACGCTCTGCTGGAATTTCTATAGTGAAAATAAATAAAAGACTTGCACTAAGCAAAAGTTTCCATGAAATTTTGCTCTTACTCTCATTTGAATAAGGACTTGATAAAAAAAATTATCTTTCATGCTCCTTCTCGCACAACATTTTGTGAGAAATGTTTACAGGAAAGCTTCCCAAAGAATGTCTTCAATCACACCAGTAATATTTTTTTTTAGTGGTCGCAAAGCAGAAGTTTTCCGATCATATTCTGTAATATTAAACAAAACAGAATTCCTGAAGTTTACCTCGATGTGAAAATCGGATTCATCTTCATACTGCCTTATGATTGCTGCTTTCAAACGATTCATTTCATTCATTTCCCCATGCACCAACACAAGATGCGGCGGACGAAGAGCACGGATGAAATCCGATGTTTGGGTATAATCTGTATGTGCCGAGAAACTGATATAAGCAACCTGAAATAATCTAGAAAAATCCTGAAATAGTCATTGGGTCTTTTCGAAAAGTACATTTGAAAATGAAAGTGGATGTTTCCCAATTCTCAAGTAAATATTTTACCTTTATCACAGATACTCGTTTCTTATTGCACCATGAAGATCCTAGCAGTAATGCATCTTATTTTCATCACTTATTTGCTAGGAAACATAATTTGTAAAAATCATTTCTACATGATCAGCTGACCGATATTTTCATGTTGTGAAGATATTAAAATTAAATTGTTGAGCTTACGGATAATTAAAAGACCTGCGAAGTAATGTTCGCTTTCAAAAAACTGAGCTGATAAATCTCAAAACCTTAGAGCTGACAAATTTCAAAGTCTCAGGAAATGACCTGCAACCGCATAGCCAATTTTTGTCCGTTCATTGCAACAATTTCCTCCGGCTCTGATAAAATATGCTGGAAATGGACCACATTCAACATGCAGTTTTATTTTTTATCAAAAAATAAAAGGCTCGTTGTATTTTTCATTGCTCACAAAACAAAAATAGATCTGTCACTCATATAATTTTATAGATTAAATAAAGATGTGCAGAGACTTGTTGGAAGTATTAATGGGAATACAATATAAGTGTGGACTCCTACTGTTGGATTCCTACTGTTTAGAGTAATGTGTTTTAATTTTCAAAATTTTGTGATAATTTAATCATCTTGCATGTCTCGGATTTACTTCCGTTTTAGGCAATTAAAGTTCAGTACAGCTAATTTTAGGCATAAATAATTCAAGCATTTGAGGTTGGTTATGTTAATTTCGGACTAATGTCTAAATTGGGTAGTCCCAGGCTTCTATTAGCCATGCTGCAGTGGCAGTTATACTTTTGTTAAGCTTGGAATCGATGATAATGAATGAAAAAAGACCGAATCCCCTAAAATACTGAGTGGATAAGCAAACCTTAGCAAGTGTCCCTTCGACGCAGTAACCAGCTATGATACAACCATTTTTAGAATCTGTACACCAGTTCTCAAACAGCTCTCTGCTGAGACCATTCTGCAACATGCCTGGCGATGCAAGTACAACACATGGACCCACATCTTCAAAATGATCGATACTCTGCAAATTGAAATGGTTTTTAAAATCTCTTCGTGAATGAATCACTGAAATCTAGGCAAGTAAATTATGTTTATTACCAACAACAAGAGCGACATATTTTAAAATGCTAGGTTTTAAATCATGATTCATTACACAGTTTATTTCAGAGTATGGCAAAACTTTTTGTATTCATAACAGCAAACAAAGCATGTAGAAGTTTCACTAAAGAAATGAAACTAAAAATAAACTGAAAATCACTGCTTGATGGTAAGTGACCATACCTTTAAATTGGAAACATGTTTAAAAACGAATGGATTATTCAGTGCTATTTGTTTCTGTATGCGACTGTTCATTCCACTTACAAATGTCTGATATACAGCCATACACTTTTTCGCCAGCGAGCTTGCATCTAAAAGCAGTCTCTTCACAGTTAGACACCAAAATCAAGTCACAAATAAGTACTCTTAGAAGAAACATTTCTTATGAGGATAAAAGCAAATAAATTATAATATGATAATGTTAATTCTAACAACATAACGATAAAAGCATTACTTACGATCAAAAAAGATTAAAAGATCAATCCCTACAATTACAGATCTATTAGGTTCAACGACGGTCATTTCGTCGGCGTTACAACAGACAGGATTGTTCTAAAGAAATATGAGACTATGTCAATTCTTTTCCAGATTTCTCATGCATGTCACTCCATCCCTAACAATTTATAGGATGAATAATTACAAGAAATCTTCATTATCTGATGCACTGCATTCACTTTCGCTGCAAACTATAATGCTTAGTACAATCAAATCCATACTAGCGCAATACCAAAACCATACATTGGCAATTAGTTGTACATTAGTTGCTTATCTACAGTGATTAATAATCCATCATAATCTCTCACATGATTTCTGAATCGGAGTTTTCTTCCCTAACTGGAAAGAATAATTAAGAACTAACAATATACTGGAATATCTTGTAACTCAGGATGAGCCTCCCAATATTCATCTAAAATAAGCAGCAATTCCTGAGCCCGACCAAGAGCAAAAGCAGGGATGAGACATCGTCCACCTCGTCCAACAACTTCATGAACAATACTTGTAAACCTAAAAAATGTCAACATTGTATGGGTGAAACGGTTTGAAGCCCATTTTTATATCAAATCTTTCAAATTCATTATTCCCAAGATATAACTAAATCCTTTTTCCTCTACATGAATAAATCTAGCTTTTTCTCAAACTTCTCTGCACACCTCTGTCTAGAAAAAACTGATAGTAGGACTACCACTGATTAACTTTAATAAGTTAACCGCCCTTATTCAAATATCATATGAATATTATGATTTTAGATCCATAACTAAGATTACATCCTGAACTTCAACCTCGATGCATATTCTAAAATTTGAACCTTTTTCCCTTTCATCTCGACTCTCATGAACTTGCGTCCCATAAGTTGATTCACAAATCAAAACATCCGGTGATACAGTGGGCAATTCAGCAGCACACAAATGACGATCTTCGAGTCTTGAAAAATCTCCCGTGTACAATATCCTAACACCAGCAATTTCGATCATGAACATACAGGCACCCAAAACATGGCCCGCAACATGACACCAAAATTTGATACCATTCACCTCTTTCTGCTCGTGAAAATCAATTACCTAAATAGAATAAAATAGAAGAAAATATGAACAAAAAAGGCATTTGTTAGCACTGAGATAATAACGACGAAGTTACTAGATCGTTCACAAGTGAATTAAAGTGATGGATATGTGTATGTAAACAACGAACAAAAAGCGTAAACCCTGTATAATTAGAAAAGCTCAGATTCTCAAATATAAAACATTTTCCAAACAAAAACAGAGTCAAACATAAATGGGAAGGTTGATAATAATAAACTAGCACAAGAATCTTATGCTTTAGCATAACCCAAAGAAAAAATGACGGAATTTGTGTACAAACAAAACTAGAATCTGGTTAGAATGTTCCTAACCTCAATTTTTTCCATGCTTTTTTCTAGGTCCTCTTCGTTATAAAGCATTCGATTATCACTTGAACCACCGTACTTCGAAACCTTGAGATAGTCACCAATCGACATACGATAAATAGCTTTTGTTGCATGTGTCATGAAACACCGACCACGAAATGCCGTTTTTTCCAGCAACCATGGTAAGGCACCACAATGATCAAGGTGAAAATGTGTCACCAGTAGTAGGTCGAGTTCCTCGCAATCCACAAAATCAACAAATGGAAGTGCATCCACACCGCTCATTCCCGGATGTATGCCACAATCTAGCTAGAAACGAAATGAATCCTTCGAAAAATGTTTATTAAATTCGTTGGAATAACTAAATCAAAGAAAAAAAACAAATGCTTTCGTTGCTTATGTAATAATAAATGATGCTAACAACTTTGAAATCAAAAAAATTGGGGGTGAACAAACCACACCAGTATTTTCTTTCCTTTGAAAGTTAAATAATGACACGATCGACCAACTTCCTGTCCAGATCCTCTGCAAAAAGACAGTGGTAGAAAGTACAACAAGAAAGTACAACGCAGAAGTTCAAAGATACAGTAGCAGAGACAAGTATAGATAGGATGCTGAATCTAGCACTTTTGGTGAATGGGCTTGTGATGCTCACAAACTGACACCGGTTGTTACAAGCACTTGCCAAATGGAACTAAGTTCGCAGGTAACCAAGTTAAACAGTACCAATAGAAGACAAAAGTTCGGATTAAGCACTCCATGAATAAAAAACTTACAGTGGCGTGATGACAAGACTGTCCGAGAAATCGTCAATGCCATCAGTATCCATCTCAGAGTAGCATTCCTTCACTTATAAGCTTTTTCAGTGTTTTCCTAAAAATACATCTACAATGGCTATCATTTAATTGCTCCTCTCTGAAAAACTTGCAGAACTTGAACGCACCTGAACGTCTGAACATTACATGCTCCTACAAGGATATCCGAAAATAAATATGCCTCTACCGCCTCGCCTTCCCCCAACTCCTACTTTTTCATCTCTTGACTTTCACCGTCTACATCCTTCGGTCCCGCCCCTCCCACCCCTCAGAACCCCAACATCTCATCGACCCTTCTCCAACAACGTCAGCCGGCTCCTCAAAGCACTTAAAAATGTAACTCTCTTCAGGTCATCAGGTTCCGGCCGGTGTGCAACGTTACGTCCCTGCTTCTGACCTTTCCGGAGTACAACACCCACACACGACCTCCTACCACTGTGACCATCCCAGTGTTCCACGAAACAGTTTTCCAAATTACCGCCTCTTTCTTTATAAAATATCCCATCTCGAAATACCACCTCGATCAGATGATCCGATCTGTGTAACCAACTGCTTACACCCCCTTCCTTACTTTGCAGTGAAATGATACCAACAAACCAAAATAATATTTATGCAGAATATATTTCATATGTATATATATATATATATATATATATATATATATATATATATATATATATATATATATATATATAT